CCTAAGTCAATGTTTGATGACGTGTATCTCGGAAACGTGACGTCATATCTTGACAAAAATATGTCTCCTTTCTTTTCCCATATAGATGAGTAGTTTCACAAAGTTTCGCCAAAATCGGAGGAGGTGAGGTTCCAAATGATCATTTTTTGTCCCACTTGACGTGGAATGCCCATAATACGACAAAGCAGGCATATAAGCAATTAGTGTAACCCTAGCTGATAGCTATTAAGAGACACACTGAACCTGATTTGACCAAATCTGCACCTGATCTGTACCCATAGGTGTAGGAACAGGGGGGGGGGGGGACGGGGTGACCGGTGCCCCACCTCCCCCACTTTTTATGGTGGGGGGCCAGTAATGTTAACTGCCCCCCCCCACACTTTTTGCCGAACTTTTTAATGTATTTGTAGGTATCACCCCGAAGAACAAACTTGACGGTTCTCTGGCCTGCCCTTCCATGAAGATTTCCATTTGTGCTTCATCGTCAATGAGTGCAATTTTCCTCCACCCAATGAAAGGTAACTTTGTCAGAAGCAATGAGTGGCAGCTTAGGGGCAGCGCGCGCTGCAAATAGAGACAATACTGGCGTAGCAGAATGCGTAAACGGCGTAAACTATCAATTTATTTATGTTAGGCGGTCTTGCATTAGTTGATCGGTTACTGGCATAGGCGTAGAAACAGGGGGGCAGGGGGCAATGGTCCCCCACTTTCGAATGGGGGCCAGCAATGTTAACTGCCCCCCCCCCCACACACACACACCTTTTGCTGACTTTTCACTTCTCACGTTTCACGCTCGCTGGTAATAAAAAATATTTTTGGATGCTTCTGGAATTCGCATGGGTGCCAACCAGTGGCGGATTCAAGGTGGGGTCACATGGGTCATGCCCCCTTGGGGCCCGGGGGCACCACAGGCCTACCAGGGGCACCACCGACCTATCAGGGGCACCACAGACCTGACAGGGTCACCACCGGCCTGTCAGGAGCACCATCGGTCTAGCAAGAGCGCCACTGGTCTGCCAGGGGCACCACAGACCTGTCAGAGGCACCACAGGTCTTCCAGGGGCACCAAAGGCCTTTCAGGGGCACCACCGGCCTCGCAGGGGCACCTTGGGCCTGTCAAGGGCACCACGGACCTGTCAGGGGCACCTCAGGCTTGTCAGGGCCCAGGGACACCACAGTCCTTTCAGGAGCACCACAGGCCTGTCAGGGGCACCAGAAGCCTAGCAGGGGCACCACAGGTCTGCCAGGGACACCACAGACCTGCCAGGGGCACCCACTGGCCTCGCAGGGGCAACTTGGGACTGTCAGGGGCATCACGTGCCTGTCGGGGACACTTCAGGGTTGTCAGGAGCACCACAGTCCTGCCAGGGCCCAGGGGCACCAGCGGCCTAGCAGGCCGCAGGGGCACCACGGCCTCGCAGAGGCACCATGGGCCTTTCGCTGGCACTTCAGGATCGTAAGGAGCACCACAGTCCTTCCAGGGGCTGGCACCACAAACCTGCCAGGGGCACCTGCGGCCTAGCAGGGGCACCACAGGCCCGCCAGGGGCACCACAGGCCTGCCAGGGCAAAAACAAATAAATAAAAAATGAAAATAGGGCACCACCAAAATTAAGTGGCCGAAATCAGTTGATGTTTTAATTTTTGGTATAGATAGGGGCACTACTTCGATTCATGACCCTCCCCAATTGGAGTTTTCCTGGATCCGCTCCTGGTGCCAACGCGGCTGCGGAGGCCAGGGGGACGCGTCCATGATATTTAATTTCTGGACGGGAGTCTCCCCGAGATTTTGGTCGATTTTTTTTCTTGTCACGTTTTTTTTCTTACCAATTAGAGCATACCTGAGAAAATAAAGTGGCCGAACTCCGAGGAGAAAATGGATTTTGGGGGTAGGTGAGGTTTTGTGCCTCTGGGAGCCTGCCCCCCCCCCCCCACTTTCGAAAACGTTCCTACACCTATGTCTGTACCAGATGTGCACCAAATGTGTACCAGATGGCCGTCGTGAAAACGGCTAATATGACCTCGAAAGGTCAATTTTGAAAATTTAACCTCAGGTCAAGGTCACGACCTAACCCAAAAGGGTCATGCTGCTAATCAACTGATCAGTATAAACGACCTAAACACAATGAACTTGTTCTGGAACCTGTATCTCGCGTCAATCCTCTATCTCAGTGGCGGCCCCAGTAGCGGTTGCCCTGTAGAATTTATCGCCTCCGCAACTCGCAACTCCGCAACTTTTTCGGGCCTGGTAGCCGATCTGTAGAGGAAGGAGGGTGAATTGCGCCACCTTAAGGAAAAACGCTAATTGTAAGAAAACCGCTGGAGATATAAGCATGCACTCAAAGAGGATCTCATTAGCTACGATTTAAGAGCCTCCCGATCAATTAAGAATGTTTCGTTTGCTTCCGACAGCTGCTTTTTCAGAAACATGCAAAAGGGCGCATTTACCAACAACTGCTGTAAATTGCGCCAGGGGGATGGCGCAATTAGAATCCAATTGCGCCCTATACTTAAACATGGCTAAGCGAATGAGACGGAATGCATACACCCCGGCAGTGTAATGTCATTGTGGCTCATTTATAATGTTAATCAGGCTGGATAAATAATAAATGTAGATATAAATTGCGATGTTTTTTGCCTAGGTAGATAACTTTACATATGTCCGTATGTTTGTAAAAGTGCAACGAAAACGTTTTGTGTAACCGACTAAATATATGTAAAAGTATGCGCTTATACGGTTAAATTTTCAATCGTTTCTCTCAAAATTAATAATTTTTATCGTTTCGACAACTTGTTGACATCAGTTTTTACTTTTTATCATAGCTGTCATCTCTCACGCCCGAGTTCATGTTGAAAATGCCGTATTTTGTCAATTACACCGCACGTTCGCAGCCTAAATGGCAGCTGCTTTATAAGTTTGACGAGAGAAATAATTTGCGGACTGGCGACAGCGGGCTGCTCCCCTGCCTGGCATTTAACTCCTTCTTTATTGCAATCAGTTAATGATACATTTACACTGTCGTGATACAATAGCTACACCCTTATTCTATTTGCGCCCCCATGGCGCAATTGCCATGGGGCGCAATTAGAATTGAGGTACTTTTTGATAAAAGCGTAGAAGTTATCATAAATATGCTGAAGGAAGTTTACTGTTTAAAGGTAGTGTGCCACCTTTGAAAGATTTCCCGTTTTATTTTTCCTAGGATAAGAAGCTTCTGTTTTTACCTAATATCGCAAAAAAAAATCAAAAATGGGCCTGGAATAGTGCCTTTTTCGCCTAAAAGTTTATCGGTTTTTAGATATGTATAACAACTGTAGTGGGCTCACCTGCAAACAGGCGTCGGGCAACAATCGCGAATGCGGCGCGCTTGTGACAATAAGCAAAGGTCATTATAGTGTTACGACCATACGACGTACGGGAATGAGTTATCAGCTGTCTAATCGTAGACAACACAATGTCGAGCCTTAAAGGAAATAGTTCACTTTCACGAAATTATTTTTTTTTTGCAATGGATTTGTGATTTTTTATGTTCAAAATGATCAGCAAAGAAAATAAAACCTTTTTACAACAAAAGATTATTTTCCATATTTTTGATATAGGAAGAACTTTTCAGTTTCTGTAAGGCACACGCGATCCAGTATGAAAAGAGCATGGGTCCCGAAAATTCTTAAACTAGAGAAATTATCGCTGCCACCGGCATTTGGGCGATCTGCTCGTGCTTTTGTTACTGGAGCGCCTCACTGGAGCGAATTTCTCTAGAGTTCTCGTAGATAATTTCTCTAGTTTCTGAAGAATTTTCGGGACCCATGCTCGTTTCATACTGGATGCGAATATATGCAAGGCACACATCCTCAACGCAAGACACATTTTTCGGGACGAGAAATAGAATATCTTTGCCTAGGGTGATCGTTGGGCTGTAAAAGCTCCTGATTTATGCTCGTCTCAGCCCAAGCTACGGAACTGCTATTCCAGTTCAAAACCCATGTTAAAATGTGAACTATTTCCTTTAAACTGTAAGCCTGTATTGGTATTGTTTCTTAAATTTGGCTGTCGAACATTAATTTGTGGTTTGAAATATGATTTTATGTAAAATAATTGATATGAAACAGCCGTCTCTTAAGTTATGACCCCATTACACCACACGCAAGTGGCAGAAATGACAATGATCAGCTGACGCATTTTTCTTGGCCGAAGTCAGAGCGCGCGGCCCGACGCACCACGCGTATTTGGAAATTCCGACCTCGACGAGCATCAGAAGCCACCTAGCAGGCGTGTTCGAAACCGCAGGAGATGATGATGAACGGGTTTATCGAAACTTGATTGGATGAGCCTATCGGTAATAGCGATTTTAGTGTGTGCATTTATTGTTCATAGTGGTGTGAAATGTGGTTGGGGTACGACCGACAACCCGTCGGGGCGAATTTCGCACTGGGGTACTCAAAATTTGAAGAATTTAAGACGTTTCCATAAGTTTTGAAGGTATGGATAAGTTCTAAAAATCCGGTTCTCCTTATCCGGGTCATTAACTCCATATGGTCCAAGAAAGCTGGCACACTACCTTTAAGTGAAATATAATGAAAAAGGGGTTTTTTTTTCTAAATATCACTCTAAAAATCACACACGTATAACATATTTTTATAGCCAACGGTTCAAAATACAGCAAAAAAGCTAAAAAAAACGTCGCAATATCTTTGATGGCGTAATGAGCCCTGCTGATTGGCTCCGTCGGAGAGGTTGGGGCATAAAATGAACTATCCGGTGGTGAAAATATTGTTTTCGAACACAAAATTATAAACATGCCATTGAATTCGTGGGAATGTTGGTGGGCGCAATTTGGTCAGGAGGGCGCAATACACCCACTTTCCCCTAACTCTGCTACAAAGAGGGTAGTCCGCAAAGCCCTATATACCTGCAGGTTGCGGAGTTGCGGAGTCGCGGACTAAAGTTGCGCAATGCCCAGCTCTCTGCCAAATGCGGGCGAGTCACGAGTGTTAACCCTCTGAGCTTAGACAAATTATATTTGATAAGCTGTGAACAATATAAAGACACTGGACTTTGATATGAGTATTGCACATCGCACATTTATTGAATATCTGAGACACTCGACGCAGCGGAATTATCAATGACGTCAGGTGTCTGTCGTAGACATCGGCTGAAATCCGGCATTTCATGAAACGTCTAGGCATTACGTGCAAGGCCGGCAAAGACTGAAATCTTCGTAGAAATGCGCGCGGTATAGAGCGAATGCCTGAGTCAAACTACCTACACTCGTTGGCTCGTTGCCCATAAGCACTACATGAAATGCCCATGTGACGACCGTGACTTTCTGTAACAATTATCGCAGATTTGCGAGTTCCCGTGCTTTTTCGCATCCAAAGGCTTCTGGCTTGGCACCAAACTTACCCCAACCTAAACAGAACTAGCCTAGCTACTTTTCACATAACACGTTAGGTTCGGTTTGATCTGTCATGTAGATAAAGGTAGGTTTTAGGTTATAGGTTAATTAAGGCTAGATTATGGCATGTTTGAGTTAGAAATGAACTTGGCCCGACGGGATTTGAACCCGCCAACTCGCCACGGAGTTTAATATCTGGTATCATGTCCTGTTCCACCGGTGATATTTTCATGTTATATGAAAAAGGCGCAGGAACTCGCACATCTACGGCAATCGTTACAGAAAGTGCCGGTCGTCACTTGGGCAGTTCATGTAATGCCTAGGCGACACGTTTGTACTCAGTTAGTTTCGAGCACATTCTAGCGACAGCCTGGTCTCCGCCTGGCATTTCATGAAAACGCTAAATTTTCAGGCATTCGCTGTAATGCGCGTATTTCTACGAATATTTCAATCTTTGCTGGCATTTCACATAATGCCTAGACGCTTCATGAAATATCGGATTTCAGCCGATACCTACGACATATCTGATATCCATACAATCTAACTCATTGGGCGAAATCCACCACCTTGGAACGCATTCAGCAGCCGTAAGAGTATTGCAATGTTCGGAGACACCACCACCACCAGCACAGACGCCGCAGCTATTGCCCATATCGTCGCCAATGGCACCATTGCCGACGCCGCTGTCGTGTTGGGACAGCGGAATGGCTGGCTCCGCGGCAGGCCGCCGTGGTCGGAGCACAGTCTCCCTACACCGGCCGACAGGACACCCGCAGGCCACGAGCATCGCGCTGTCGCCTGCCCACAGCTCACGGAAGCCCTTGTGACGGCCACTGTAGGGCGGGTGACAGAGCCGCGGCCGCTCTCCTCCCGACCGGTCCTCGCGGCCGCGGCGCACGGCCCTCCACCTCACTCCTCAGCTGTAACGGACCACCGAGAGGTCAACAGGACGTCGCCGGGACATCAACAGGGCGCCACCGAGACGTCAGCAAAACGTCACCGGGACATCAACAGGACGCCACCGGGACGTCAACAGGACGCCACCGGGACGTCAACAGGACACCACGGAGACAACAGGACGCCACCGAGACATCAACAGGACGCCATCGGTAGGCCAATTCAGTAAATCAATGAGTAATGATAGTAGCCCCACGTGACTGATTCATCGGCTTAGTACGCTTCACAGTCACTCCACGGGCCGCGGCTGACAGCATCTATGTAAAGATGCAACGGTTTGATCCCTTGAAGTGGAATGAACGCTAGAAAGCTCTTCCCAATCCCAACACCTCTTTGTTGTTGACTCGCCTTTTTCAGGTGATTTGAAGTGCTTCTTCAGGGATTGCCAACACTTGTAGTAGTCTTTTGATATCTTGTCGCAGGTCCGCTGACCCCACGTCGTTATGGCCAGGCCCAGAGAGCTCTCGAACATGAATGCCTGCAAAAACGCACATAATGGTAAGTGGAAAAAGGAAAATTTTGATTAAACGTTAAACAGAGGTTAGCAAGGAATCTGATAGGTAAGTGAAATCCAATAGATCATTTCTTCAATATGCAATATAGTTACCTACGCTCCACATGTATAAGTTCAAAACTAGACGTTTGTATTAATATTTAGTGCCAGACAACGTGGTCTAAGTGTTGGTTCTTGCAAACTGTGTGTAGTTGTGTAGCCACAGAGTGAGCGCCGTTCGGCGGTCGGCGGTGTTGGCCGAGCGGCGCGCGGTGCGACTCGCCTGGGTGCCGGCGGCGATGTGTTTGGGCTGCAGCGGCTCCGTACTGGCCGCCTCGAAGCACTGGGCGTCCGGGCCGTGCGGCGTCATCATCGAGTGCAGCGTGGCGCCGCCCGGGCGCAGGCTGTCCTCCTTGGCCTCGTACGCGCCGTAGATGAGCCCCATGAACTCGGACATGCAGTTCCCTGCAACCAGCCGCCACCCGGGCGGCCGGGTCAGCTTCCCTTCTCACGATATTACGCTACATCTTAGAATTACTGAAAATTACATATTACGGAAACCCGGTCCCGTACCTCAGTCGGTAGAGCGCTGGACTCTGTGTGTGTGACTCTGTGCAGACGTTCTGGTTGAAAAGGTTCCGGGTGCGAGACACGACGGGCGCCCGGTTTTAGGCACGACGGTTTATGAGCCTGGCGGTTGTGGCTGAGGTTGGTGGCAAGCCGTAGCCGGTCGAAGTGAGGACCGCCCGTAGGCAGCTGTACGCGTACGTTTTACTTACTTCGGACTCAAAATTCTGCCAGAGACCGGTAATTGCGCGATCGGAGGGTAGGGGGGCAGGCTCAACACAATAAGGTCTGGTTGGCTGGGCTCTGTGCTTATGAATCTTTTCATTTAAAAGGTTCAGACTAAATTAACCCGGCAGGCGGTGGGCCTACCAGCCACCTTCCGCGCGGTGGGGGGGCATTTTATGCCCCCCCCCCGTATCTCCAAAACTACTGGACGGATCCGGAAAATTCAAACGGCGTTCGATAGCCCTGTCAAATTTGTCAATGGAAACCAAATTTCATTGACCTCGGGGTCACCGATGACGTCACAGGTCAGGTCAAAGATAAAATGTTTCACCGTTCACGGGGCTTCTAGGGAAAGCGCTATAACACCGAGTAAAACGCATTTTGTCGAAAATCAGCGATAAGGCGTTAGTTGTCTAGTACATATGTTGCTATTAGAGGTCACTGATCATACCAGGTCAGGTCACAGGTCAGGTCACCAAAGGTCACCAAGGGTCACCACATGAGCCCAACTTTACTAAGGTTATGCGATGCATGTTTTATGGCCAGTTTTTCATTTCCAACTCAATGGTGTTGGTTATAAGACCATCAGGTACGGTTTAGGTCACTTTCTGGTGGAGGTCAGGTCAAGGTCAGGTCAAAAAAGGTCAAATTTCAAAGTTGATATTTTTGCATAAAATGGGTATCGATTCGATGCAGCTCGTCACGGGGAGTCTAATGGTGGTCTTTGTTTTGCGCTAAGAGGTCTAGAATTGCTAAAAATTGAGTTTGAAAATTTGACGTCATCAATTTTGAACAGTTTTTTCACTATAACTTGGCCAAAAAAAGAGGTATCGATCTCAAATTTGGTATGTAGATAGAAGTCGATAGGGACTATCACATATATTCCGGTTTTGTCGAAATTAAAAAAAAATTGGATTTTTTGGCTATTATATTCAAAAAATCTATTTTTTTGATTTTTGGGGGTCAAAATCCAAAAATTTCGAAAAACCGAAATAGCAGTTTTGTAGCCCTTTTGATTCCACACCTTTTATGTCTGAAATATTTTTCTGTATCTCTAAAGCTGTAGGCCTGACAGCTCTTCCCGCGAAACCTTTTTTTGGGGTCGAAAATGGCAAAAATGACGTCACTCTGACGTCATTAGCGGCCAACCTATCATAGCCTTTGGAAAAAGTTTTGGTCACCATGTGCGCTAGCTGCTCCCGGGAGGGTACTGAAAGTTTGGTGACGATTGGCGCAGCGGTTCTCGAGATATATTGAAAAAACTAAAGGGGGGGGGGCAAAAAAATGCCCCCCCCCACCGCCTGGAAGGTTAAAAAGCAAACATAATGAACTACCTCACAGGACTGCCAGCAATGTACCCGACTGTAATAAATCAAATGATCCAGCAAAGCTCACATCAGACGCCATTTGCTAGCATGTAGCTCATGCATGCATCGCAGGACCTTCTATTGTCATGCTATTTCCAACAGAACCTTGAAAGTTCACTCTAACTAGTAGAATAGCACTCGATTCAATGCGCATTGACGTCCTGAGCTTGCTGACGCTCTCCATTCTGCTCTAGCCTAACAAAAACAGAAGTTATACCTACGCAGGCTATGCCAAAAACGTTTGGTGAGCTCTAGCAACACTTTTACTCTTACGACATCCTGCATCCCCCGGCCTAGTCATTAAATTTGCGAAAGGGTTAAATTTCTTACGGGTCCAGCCAGCCTAAATATTTGGCGCTTATTATTGCAATCAGACCCAATTGCCGGGGGCGGGGGCGGGAGGGGTCCTACCTACCTCGCCTCTGCCTGTTGGCAGTATGGAAAAGCCTCTAGCCTGTCGATGTTTAACATAACACCGTTAAAACGATATATACGCATTTTTGTAGCGAAGCATCACGAAACTATTTTCGGAGTTAGTCTGAGGTAAGCTGCCCCTTTGTGAGTTTCGAATCAGAGGCGGGAGCCGAGGCCGAGTTCCGACATGGCGGCTGCGAGGTGCTGGTCTCTGTCACACTGGTTGTGATGGTACGGTGGTCATTGTCGCACTCACTGTGATAGTAGGGCGGCCGGAAGGTGTGCTCCTGAACGGCCCAGCGCGGTGGGAAAATGACGAAGTCGGCGATGGCAGTCCCGGGTCGCTCTGACGGACATGTCAGAACCGTGAAAATAGACGGGTCCTGAAACAAAATAAAGCGAGAGATAAATAACAAATGTAAATGCATCGCTGCCAGCAACAATAAGCAGGTGTTTGACATCAGTTGGGAACTAAATGACCATTGAGCAATGAAAGGGAAATGAATAGCAGCTCGAACGTCCGAGACCAGGGGCAGTTCGATAAGCGCCCGCTGGCACCGGCACCGACTCACCGCGTGGTCGAACGCCGTGGCGTTGATCACCATGAAGTTGGCCAGGTCGTACTTGTACGGCGTCAGGTTGCCGTGCCAGGCGACCACATCGAACGGCGAGTGCTGCTGACGCGCCCGGAACCAGCCGCCCTGGAACTTCGAGATGACGTGGAACTCGATCCCGTCGCGGTCCTCGAACCACGCGCACGGCGACAGAAAGTCCCGCGGGTTGGCCAGACCGTTGGCACCTGACGGTCACACGTCACAGCCGATCGTCAGTCCAGTTAGCGTCTGTTGTTGGGTCCAAGCACAGGTCTCTTCTCTATACGACCAGCAGTAAAAATGCGGCTCGTTAATTTTACTGATTGCCACCTCCATAATAGGTTATGTGGACTTTAACGTTAAAGGGACTATCCCACCTTCCAAAATGATGTTAAGACCAGTTAAATTGTGCCCGACTTTATAGATTGGATGACCAGGAGCACGGCTCTGGCATTTATTTTTCATTAAACATCTTAGGCTTTCCATATTCCAAACACAAACTTTCAAATATGTGACGTCACAGCCCAAAATTACCCCCTTCCCCAGGCCACATTACTGTCATAAAGCTGATTCTTTTTACTCTGTAGGCACCACAACAAAGTTCAGACCAAGTTTTAAGCGATTTTTTCAACGAACAAACCCATTTAAATCAGAATGACTAAACGAGGTGACGTCACACTAACGGTCGCTCCATGTTGAAGATAGGGCCTTGCACAAGGCCCATTTTCAAATGAAGGGAACGAATTTCTTCAACACCAAGAGGCCACGGGGGTTGCAACCTAGATAGATAGTGGTTTCTGAACCTCGCCGCAAACTTGGCTATCTCAACTTAAACCCCATGTTAAAGGTGGGATAGTCCCTTTAAGAGTTACTCAATGAAGTAAGTGTATAAACGCACATGCTTGGTGGACTTCAGGTAGCGCACAGTTGCCTTAAAGCCGTTCCAATGAGAAGATATCATTGCGAAGAAATAATATGGCTGCTGGTCATGCAGACTAACTTAAAACCAAAGAGTACCAACCTAAGTGAGCAAGTACAGTGGGTCCACAAAATAAGTCCCCGCCGTAAGCGGGTCGTCGACTACAGAATGATGTTCCACTCCTCAGAAGCTATCAGTTGACCGGAGCGCTAAGTTGTGCCGCTTATCACGCAATTAAACGTGTCGATTGTGAGCATTGGGAGTTGGGACAAAGCTATAATTTGTGAACTCAGCCCGTGTGATGCGGCACAACCTACCACTCCAGGCAAATAATTGCCTGTGAAAAGTGGAACATCATTCTGTAGTCGACTATTACATATACATTACATATAATGCCTACCTATCACCTTCCATATTATCGATTGTAGCCGAGATGATGCAGCTGACATTCTAAAAAACGACTTCAACATTTTACCTATCCTTTAGCAGTTGCTTCACGTGTGAGAATGCGAACAATCATGCAGACCAGTTGCACGTAGAAAATGGGGCTAGTTTTCAGTGGGTGCCAAGCCTACGAGTGCAACAATACATCGACTCAAGATTACTAGAACATAACATCGACTAAGAGAGATCTAAAGGCTGGAACACAGCTTTCACGCGTGACGCGCACAAGTCGCAGTCTCGCTCTTCCCATTGGAATATTCATATGGCATACTGTTTCGCTCCCAACTCGAAGGTGCGGCTTAGGAGCGAAAAATATGTCATATACTCCAATGGGAGAAGGGAGAAGCAATTTGCACGCGTGAAAACCGTGTGTCGCGATTTGAGTGACTGAGCGATGGGTCGGGGCTGGATAGCTGGAAGGGCTGATGATTGGGTAACTAGGAGGACTGATTACTGGCAGCTGGAAGGGCTGATGTTTGGGCGACCGGGGGGATTGAACTGACGATCGGGCCGAGCCGTTCGGCTGCTGGAAGGACTGACCGATGACTGGGCAGCTGGAAGGACGTCTGACTGACTGACTGATGGGGTAGGGGTTGAGCTGGACTGATGATTAGGCAGATGGAAGGACGGCTGACTGACTGACTGACTGATGGGGTAGGGGCTGAGCTGGACTGATGACTGGGCTGCTGCAAGGACTGACCGATGACTGGGCTGCTGCAAGGACTGACCGATGACTGGGCAGCTGGAAGGACGGCTGACTGACTGACTGATGGGGTAGGGGCTGAGCTGGACTGATGACTGGGCAGCTGGAAGGACGGCTGACTGACTGACTGATGGGGTAGGGGCTGGGCTGGACTGATGACAGGCATCTGGAAGGACGGCTGACTGACTGACTGACTGATGGGGTAGGGGCTGAGCTGGACTGATGACTGGGCAGCTGGAAGGACGGCTGACTGACTGATGGGGTAGGGGCTGAGCTGGGCTGATGGCCGGGCAGCTGGGAGGACTGAACTGACCGATGGGGCCCAGGTTGGGCAGCTGGAAGTGGTTGTTGTACACCTCCAGCACGTAGCCGCGGCTCGGACCGCTGACGTCCACAGCGAACTTGACGCCCTGGGGGATGACGCAGATCTCGTTGGGTTTGGCCGCCAGCCTGCCGAGCTCTGTGGTGATGTGCAGCTCTCCCTGCTGAGGCACTGCGGACACGCAGCACAGACCCACAGCCGTGACTCTACAACACTCCGGCACAGAGCGGCACGTGCCGACAGCACCCGTAGTACCTCACTACAACCACCAGCATTTACCAAACAAAACAGGCCGGTCTTCTCGCCGAGAAAAACGGCCGACTGGGTGGCCCGCGTGACACATGTTGAACTAACACATCGGTCTGGAAGCCGCTCCCGAGACAAGTGGAGACAAATCAAATTATGACATATGACCTTTAAATGAAGCGATGTTCAAAGACATTTTCTGGCTGAAACTGACCAAACTTAGCACTGCATATTTTCATCAGTCGGTTCGAGTTTTGAGTCAAAGACTTGATCGACATTTTTCGTTACCTCAAAATAACATGTCGTCAAAGGAACGACGTCACCCGGCGGCGCTCTAGAACTGTGCGGCGCGGTGAGCTGACGTTCTCACCGATGAGGAAGTGGCCGTCGCTGCTGTACATGCACGTGTCTGCCATGCCGACGGTGCAGCAGTAGACGTGGATGGCCAGGCCACAGCGGTCGCGCGGGTGACCGGCGCCGCACACAGTGTGCAGGCCGGACACAAAGTCCACGGCGCCGCTGGGAATCTCGAACGGCCTCCACAGGGTCTGCGAGCGGAGACGGCGGACCGCGGCGGTTAGAAGTACTGTACCATAGGGTCTGCGAGCGGAGACGGAGGACGGCGGCGGTTAGAAGTACTGTACCACAGGGTTCGTGAGGGAGGCGGCAGACGGTGGCGGTTAGAAACGGCGTGCCACAGCCACAGGCCACAGGGTCTGCGAGCGGAGACGGAGGACGGCGGACAGCAGTTAGAGGTACTGTACCACGGGGTCTGGGAGGGAGGCGGCGGACCGCGGCGGTTAGAAGTACTGTACCACGGGGTCTGTGAAGGAGGCGGCGGACGGCGGCGGTTAGAAGTAGGTACTTAGCGTACCACAGAGTCTGTGAGGGAGACGGCGGACGAGGATGGTTAGGAGAAGCGTACCATATGGCGTACAAAGAGGGTCTGCGCGCGGAGACGGCGGACCGCGGCGGTTAGAAGTACTGTACCATAGCGTCTGCGAGCGGAGGCGGCGGACCGCAGACAGCAGTTAGGGGTACTGTACCACGGGGTCTGGCAGGGAGACGGCAGACGGCGGCGGTTAGAAGTAGGTACTTAGCGTACCACAGAGTCTGTGAGGGAGGCGGCGGACGAGGATAGCTAGAAGAAGCGTACCATACGGCGTAGAACAGGGCCTGCGCGCATAGAGACGGGCGCCAATGGCGGAAAGTACAGTACTTTACAGCCAATGATTTGGAGGGCCGCGAGGACAGATAAGCATTATTATTAAAAACAGAAGATTTGACATGCGGACAAATTCTTCAAATTAACCTGTCCTTGCTGAAGAGGACATCACTGGATGTGGAAACTGTCCCCGCCCGCGATCTCCCAGGCCCCCAGCGCCAGCGGCGGAGGGCGACCCGCGCCGGCCGGGCCGGGGTCAGGCAGGCGGGCCGACCGGCCGACAGTACCGCTCGCGCGCGGCGCCCGGCTCACCTGGTTGGGGTTGGGCGGCGCGGCGCCCGGCTCACCTGGTTGGGGTTGGGCGGCGCGGCGCCCGGCTCACCTGGTTGGGGTTGGGCGGCGCGGCGCCCGGCTCACCTGGTTGGGGTTGGGCGGCTCGTCGTCCCAGCGGATGGTGGTGTCGTTGCACTGACCCAGCGCCGCGAACGGCTCGTGGCAGACCGACGGCCGGATCCGGTACAGCCACGTGCGGCGGTTGGACTCCCGCGGAGCTGCCGGGAGTCAGATCCACCTCCATAGTTCAACACACTCCCGAGCCACTTCAGGTAGCTTAAAGGGACCCTCCCACCTTCAAAAAAGTTAATGAATTGGCATGAAAAAGATGTCGTTCGGTTCAGAAAGAGCAAAAACGAATGTCTACCAAATTTACCGAAAAATATACATACACCGGTTTCCAAGATATTAGACTTTTACTTTTGTTTATATTTTGGGATCTCCGCAGGGGCGGCGCCACGGATTTTTGCCAGGGGCCCCCTACTTCGGCTTGCCATGGCAAGCCGAAGTAGGGGGCCTCTTCATAAGAGGGCCTCCTCTTCGCCTCTGGGGCCCCCTCTAAAGTGAAAATTGTGGTCGTTTGTCAGAAAACAGTACCTGCCTTTATCTGCAGTTTAAAACGTTTTGGCTTTACCAATACCAATACCGTTTATTCGGGCAAAACCACGAAGAAGTGGCTTTTCCTTGCCTAGAGTCAATGGTAAAACACATGGTACAATGATGGGACGGTTCCACACGTTACAGACGCGGTACGAACTAACATTGATAAAAATGATAAAAATAAACCAGAATATGATAAAAGTGACGATGACAGTGCATTATTAATGCTGCGTATTTATCACTTGCTTGATAAAATTAAAACGACCGATTGACATCGTACGCATTTCAGCTGGCAGTTGGTTGTAGGGGAGAGTGGGGCACATTCGTGCAAAAAATGGATAAACCCATATATCTGTTCTTTGGTTAGTGCAATGGCAAAATTGTTGATTGTAGTATGGAAAGGAACTATTGCAGATAGTTTTCCTCTTTAAAAGTTATCCTCTACAATTATTGCTTCCATTAGAAAAAATGACTTTTAATAACTCTGAACATTTGCACGAAACTGCCCCACCTATGGGGCACATTCGTTCAAGAGGTGGGGCACTTCCGTTCACCCTGCAAAGTTCGAGAAATTACCGGGCATTACCAGAAATTTACCCAAGGAAATTGGCAGGGGGTCATTTCACTTGATTCCTTTCGACAAGAATGCATTGCACAACATATGTATAAAGAATGGGCTGGCCAACAAGAATGTGCCAACTGCCGGCCTCCGTGACCTCGCCAAGTTCGCGTGAATTGCTCGTCACGACGTCGCAAGCAGTCGAGACTGAGTCAGGCGAACGTCATTAGAGAAACCTACTACAGATAGTCATAAATCGCAAAAACTAAAAAAAAAAAAATATGCACGAATGTGCCCCCAGGCAGTGCGTACACGAACCTGCCCCACAACGTTATTAGTAATATATTTCAAAATTTCTTTTTGAAAAAATGACACTTTTTCAACAAACAAGTTTGCAGCAGTTCCGTGAATAGAGTGAGCTTCTTCACCCCCAATTTTGAAAAGCTGAACCACATTTCCGAGTCAGGATCACGAAAATGGATGATATGAGAAAAGTTTGGAAAGCTCACGAATGTTACAAATTTGCGTTTTTATCAAGCATGACAGCAGGTACAGTGTTGTCTTCTACGGTGAACGAAGGGCGGCAATGATAGACATATTTCCATAATTTACCTTGAGCTCGTGCAGTCACTCGTGTTCCCATAAACTGCTGAAAACGAATGTGCCCCATGCACGAATGTGCCCCACTCTTCCCTATAGCAACGGGCCACAGATCAGAAATCGGCACCTCCCAGCCTCCGTCCTGGCAGGTGGCATTCGCAGGTCGTCACCCTGACGAGTGCTCCGAACTCGTGTCTCACGATTTTGGATAAAGGATGAAAGCGACACTGGTGTATGGTATTTGATAATTTTGTGGAGTAATGCGGGCGTATGATATTTGAATATGTAGATCCTCTGCATCGAGCCATCCCAGCGCCCTCCGAACGTCTGCAAAATGGCTGAACTTCCTTCTACCTGAGACGACACACGCGGCAAAGTTGATCAATGACCACCTTTTGAATCTTAGCAAGATTCTTCCGGCTGCCGCTGCCGTACGTACATAGGGAGGCAATAGCGGACGCGGGAGAGCACAGGGCGGCTATCGATGGCGGGGAAGATCTCAGCCGGAAGGTAATGACGTATGTGCGATAGGCCAATGAGGATCCCGAAGCATTTGCACATAATTTCTTGCAGTAGCGGGGGAACACCTTCAATTAAGGGGGAGGGGGCACTGCCGACTTTTGGTCCCATTCTTTCCATGCAACGCCCATAGCGCTAATGTTAAAATGCCAAAATCAAAAGGGGGGGGGGACACGGTGCCCCGGTGCCCTCCCCGTTCCGCCGCCTATGCTTTCTTGTACATGCATGGGCGTCCCAGGAAAGGTGGTGATCACCTTCAGTTTTTTTTTTACTTCTAATACAATACCGGTTATATTGTACGCTCGCGGAATTTCACGCCGAGAGGTGTAACGTTCCGCAATTTTTGTCTACTGCCAAGAACAATCAGCTGAGTTTTGTCGGGGTTCCCTTGGGGTTAATTAAGAGAATTGCGCGAAACCAAAGGTCGAGAGAAAAGAGGGCCTGCTCCATGCGGCATGCGCTCAGTTAGATCTGACGGCCGTCCCAGGGCCTATTTTAACATGTTAACTGGGGGGCAAATGCCCCCGCACTCAACAGAATTGCCCCCCTAGTCGTCGAGATTTGCCCACTATAAAAATGGGCATAAAGGAACAGGGTGACAAACATACTACGTAACTACTGTGACTTGTTTTGCAATGGATGTCAAATGAGTCAGTCTGTAAGTAATGACCAGTGGTGTATCTAAGGGTGGGTCATATGGGTCATGACCCCCCACCCTCTTGGGGCCCGGGGACACCACAGGCCTGCCAGGGGCACCACCGGCCTGTCAGGGGCACCACAGGCCTGTTGGGAGCACCATCAACCTAGCAAGAGCACCATAGGTCTGCCAGGGGCACCACAGACCTGCAAGGGCCCCACCGGCCTCGCAGGGGCACCACCTTGGGCCTGTCAGGGGTACCACCACAGGCCCGCCAGGGGCACCATAGGCCTGCCAGAGGCACCATAGGCCTAGCAAGGGCGCCACGGACCTGTCAGGGGCACCAGAGGCCTAGTATGGACACCACATGCCTGGCAGGGACACCACCGGCCTCGCAGGGACTGGGACACCTTGGGCCTGTTAGTGGCACCACGTGCCTGTCGGGGACACTCCAGGCTTGTCAGGAGCACCACAGTCCTGTCAGGGCCCAGGGGCACCACCGGCCTCACGTGGACACCACCGGCCTCGCAAAGGCATCATGGGCCTGTCAGGGGCACCACGGGCCTGTCGTTGGAACTTCAGGCTTGTCAGGGGCACCACAGTTCTTTCAGATGCACCGGCGGCCTAGCACCATGGCACCATGTTTGGCCGAGGTCGCGATTCGGCGTATGTCGCCTCGCATTAGCCGCGCGTTTGCAGTCTTTTCGTGGTTTCAAACGTTCAAACATGGGATATGATGTAGCTCCCATGCATTAGGGTGGGTGTCAAGATCACCGGAAGGTCAGGTCAGATCATTTACCTTTGATGACCTCGGTTCACATTTTCGAGTTTTATATGTTTCTACTTTCTAGGCTAGTTTTTGGAGCTGAATTCGAATTAAGCAACCATTTGACCATTTACGAAGTAGTTTTGGTGCCTTCGTAACATGTTACGAAGCTGTCAGAGGCGGTTGCCACCTACTACGAATACCCGGCAAAACCCTTACTGGTTGACCTGACCTGACCTGACCTGGCCTAAATGCATGAAGACATCATCTATGATCATAACTAACATGATATTCGTGATCAGCACCCCGAAAAACCATAGCAGCCACTCTTTACGACGCTCTAACAGGTCCCGATTTTCCCGACTTTTGGGTCAATGACCTGACCTGGAAGGTCAACCGATGACCTAGGACCTTAAAATTGGGTATAATCGGCTTCCTTTTATCACGGGCAACACGGTCGTTTTTTCCGCGAAGCTCTAGCTCGATCAGGGGCGAAACGGCAAGGGTGAGGGTCCAACGGACCCCCCCCCCCCTATACGCTCGCTACTGGAAACACCAATACGGGCGAGGGTTAATGGATTATTAAAGACAATTTTCCAGGTTGCCCCCCCAGTCAAATTCCCTTAAAATAGGCTCTGGGCCGTCCTGTTGCCGCAGACCATGATGCTGTCTTTAACGATATTTTTGTCAACGAAAAATGTCTCCTGAGCCATGCAAATGCACTTACCGTAATCATTGATGAATTTACTGTCGACTAATGTGCGTTGTTTTCCAATTTTCGGAAAAAAGTGTCTGAGGTTTCGCGAGGCTAGACCGGCCGGATCGCCTACCGTGCACTGGGGGCTATTAATAGCCCCCTCTCGTTTTCCTGCAATAACTTCTAAACCGCTAGACCTAACGACGCGAACAGGGGCGCGGGAACTACTTTCCGACTGGGGGGGCACACCATAATAGAGATCAACCTAGGGTACCCCCAAATCTAGTTTTCTCACCGGTTTTAGGCCACTTATTTTTCACCCCTCGGCTTTTTCAACAAAAAAAGAAAACATTTGCAAAAAAAGTGTGGTATTCCGTCTCAAAGCTGTGGGGGCACCGCCCCCACGGCCCCAGAGTTGGGGGGGGGGGGGGCAAGCTGCCCCCACTGCCCCCCGGCTCCCGCGCCTATGGACGCGAAACTTTCAGTACCTTCGGCTGTATGGATTTGACACCTTGCCTTGTGTGAAACTATTAGTTACCATAAGTCGGCCAGAAATGACGTTAGAGTGACGTCATGTTCTGCCGATTTCGACTCAAAACATTAACCCGCGCCGGGCCGGGGGTGTTTGAACGGTTTTTGGCACACATTTTCATGCCTCTTTTCCCCACATGTTGTGAAAAGTTCAGACCCATGGCTCCCAAGATCAGGTCACCAGGTCACGTCAAGTGACCTCACCTCAGAAAAAGTTTGAATCCTCGTCATAGCTATATCGACTGAACGATCACCTTGAAACTTTCAGCGTATGTATAAAATGTATAAAATATCTCGGAATTTATATAT